CTTAATAATAACACAGAATAGTATACGCACTATATCGGATTTGGATCGCTCTCGTCTGACCGATACCCCATCCAACAGAAAATGCCAGTATCGGAGCGATACCGATACTGAATATCGGATCGGCGCACCTCTACAATACTGTATACCTTTACTTTTACTCTCGATACCTTAAGCATATTAGAGTATGCAAGATAATACTTAAAGGATAGTTCACCCAAAAATGAAAATTCTGTAATCATTTACTCACCCTCAAGTTGTTCCAGGTTTGGAATTTTCATTTTTGGGTGAACTATCCCTTTAAATATTTTAAATATGACTAGTAGTTTTTCCCCAATGTGGTATTAGTAATGACTAAAAGTAGTTTACTAAAAGTAGTTTACTAAAGTATCTCAATATTTCTTCTACTAATTACTTTGTCATAGCTCTAAACAATTTCTCTTTTCCTTCTTTCCTTAAATCAGACCAGACCCGTGTACTGCAGGATGAACCTGAATGTGCCAGTGCTGGACAGGTTTTTTAACGGTTTTCGGCTGAGCAGGGAGGCCCTGACAGTGCTGCTGGATCTTCTGAGAAGTGAAAGGCAACAGTTGGGGTGCCACAATCCAGACCCTGGTGTTTCCTTTCTGTCCGTCAACAGTACAGTCACACAGAGTGGTCTCCAGAGTGTTTGACATGCATCGTTCCACTGTCCACCGCATTGTCCTCCGAGTCGCTGAGGAGATGCTGGCCATTCGCCACCAAGTAATTCACCTCCTGAAGACCCCAGAACACTGAGGCAGGGCTGGGCTTAAAATTGATGTGGTTTTTCTGATGCTAAACCAAAGCTATGTTGTAAATATTTGTAAAAAGTACTTTCAGTAATGTATAGAACAATTAGTTTAAATGTGTATTGAAAAATTTTAATGTACCCATTTTTTCCCCACTGTTTTCTCTCGGCTAATAAATAATTCATTTGTTAACCATTTTCTCAAGAAGAGAAAACCTCTTCTCCAGTGCTCTTCTCTCCTCTGTCTCTCTCTGGAGTTTGATGTCCTCCCTGAGTAGCTCCACCAGCTTCCACTCACTCCCTCACCTTTCCCAGGACACTTGCAATCCTAAGGCAGAGCAAACAAACCATGCCTGTTAACAACAACAGTACAATGAATTTCAGCAAAAAATGTGTGTATTAACTTGCTTTGTATTTTTAAGTCTTTCCCCAGCAGGCTAATTTTCTCCAGAATAGTCCTAAAACAAGAGAAAATGGAAACACTCATGAAAAATATTAAGACAAGGGTGCAATCTTAACATTAGAAAATATGACACAGCAGGACATGCATACAAAATACTGAAGTGCTCAAGTTTGGTTAAAGAGCAGGTCATATGGTATTTTAAAGTGTCCTAATATTGTGTCGGAGTCCCCTACAACAGGTTTAAATGCATCTAAGGTCAGAAAACATTGTAATTTTCTCAGAATATACATTTAATATTAGACTCATTTGCCAATAATTTCTAAACGAAATGATATGTCATCATCAGTAGAGTAATAAGATGATTCAATAGATCTTTGAACAGCAAATCATTCGGCTGGAAAACCATTCAACCAAACCTACAACCATTTAAACTTAAATTTAAACTGAGGAAGTGCACTTTTGTCCTTATTGAAGTGTTCATCTCATGAACATCTCATGAAGGAGGATGAAGTGTAACTTCTTATAATTTACAATAATTGCTTGTTATTGTGATCTGCACTGGGAGATGATTATTTAAAACATTTTTTACATTTAAAACTAAAATACATGCATTCAAACTTTGTTATTCATACAAACTTTGTAACATTTAAATTTTCAAAAACCCATATGACCTGCTCTTTAAAACATTTGTAGACATATCTTGCATGACAGCACAATAAAAACAGAACAAAGGGAAAGACTATTGCCTTATATAGTGGTTGTCTTATTGTTTGTGGGCTTTGTGTTAAAAAAACCCTGGCTTTTAAAACTTGTTTCGCTAGGTATTTGAGTAAATTAAAACACAATACTTACATTTAAATGCGAATTCCTCTCACCCACCATGTTCTTTGAATATAAATTCCATCATCATCTGCGCGGAATTGATTCTGGGATAGTGTAGGGTGCGAAGTGTCCCTCAGATGTACACTTCATTTTCCTGGGAAACGGAGGTCGCAGAGTCTGGTAATTTTTCCATCAGCCACGTCTCCGTAAAAACGAAG